ATCTCCAAGAGCAATTTTGTTTGAATTTGGTGAAAATGTGTCTGTCATCTCACATGACAATTCATATACTTCACCAAGTTAATAACACTAATCACCTGTTGTATATACATCCACAAACACTAACACTAGGAGTGCTGTTTGTGAATGAGGTTATATCTTTAGAATTTCTGACAATGAGAATGCATATTCCACGGCAAGCAAAATCTAAACGAATTTCCCCGGAGTTGACCAAGTGGAATCCAGTGGAGTCTTTGGCACAAACACTTTCACATAAAAGAAAAGCCCTCACAATAAGAATGTATCTGGAGATTCAGCAAAGGCCATCCACTCTACCAGAACACTTGCCTAAATAACCTTGGCAACTGTGGCGATAACTTGTCAACCCTGCCAAATGAAGTTTAACAAGAAAGCATAAATAGTCATTTAAAGAAGTGGATCCGTGAACTAAATTATAACTTATTTTTCGTATATAAGTACAGTTTCGAGACTACATCTCATATAAATGATAACTGACCTTATGCAATTTGGGCAAACCCACTTTTTCGTGTTGCTCCTCACTCTGCCCAACTGGACAACTCAACGGCGTCGGGTTTTGGTATCCCTCTTTGGCGCTGCTGTCAGGCAACACTACTGCCTAGTTGGGCAAAAAATCCGGACCTGCGGAGAACAGATTCTCTTTCCATTTCGCTTTGTCCCTACTTTCTTGCCGCAGCCAATTCCACTCGGCCTCGGCCCGCGAGCTAGTCTCAGCCTCTGCTCGGCTCAACTCTCTCTCCGCACCCGCTTGTGGCCCTTGCCAGCCGACCCATTATCTCTCTCTCCCCTTATCACTCTTGCTCTCTTTGCCTCCACCGGAATACACAAACAGTTCAGTTGTATTCTGCACTCGTCTCAGTCTCATAATCTGTCTGCGGAGAGATGGCGTGTCATCTGCCTCAACTGCATCTCACACTTTTCACTCACTCTCAATTTTCCCAATTCTCCCATCCTAGCCTGCCTCTTGTGGGAGTTGACTCTTCAGTCCGAGCCACTCTATCCGCAATCCTGCTGGTCTGTGTGTATGAGTTCAGCCTTTCAGCCGTGCCTTCGGCGGCCGGACAACCCGGCCTATTCCCATACAGAGGCCAGGGAAAAAGCTGGACATACAGAATTGCATAAGCTCTCGCATGCGTCTAGAGACATGAGGATAGACAAACGCCCCGTCCAGCCTCTTTACTAACAGGGAACTCAGATTTGCTCAACTTTCAGCTACTCACAGATCTCGAGACGTCAAAGCACATTTTTCTTCTCTCGCCCCCATTCACAGGCTGCGATTGCACGGGCTTGGCTGCCTCGCTCTCTTCTTCAGCCTCTCCTCCTCCTCCTCCTCCCTCTCGTTTGCCTCATCCTCGTCTACTCTAGCC